GGGTTTGAACCACCAACCTTCTGGTTAGTAGTCAAATGCCTTAGGCACTATGCCCCCAGAGCTATAGTTACTGTAAAATAATGAGAAATCTTATTAGTCTAAAAATGGGATACACACATTATTAGATTTTACTGAGAAACAGGAGATTTTATTAAATGGATAGCAGAATATTTCTCTTAATTATTTGATAGTTTTTTGAAGATCATGTCCAAAAGCTACCCAGAGTTACTTGAAACCATTGCCACTTAGTGTCTATGAAATTATTTGACAAAGATGATGTGAGTGAGGTTTGGGGCTGAGGTTGGGGTGGCATGGGCAGCCTCCTTCCAGTACTGTGAAACACTAGCTCTGTAGCTAGGGGGCACGTACATGTGTCACTCTGTGCACACTTTGTTTCAGTGGGTGCAGTGCCAGTCCTTTCCAAAGACACAACATTGGGGATGAAGAACCACCACTTGAACCAGGTACAGACCCCTCACAACCCCTTAGACTCCAGTGCCCCCCTGAGGAAGAAAGGAAAGCAAAGAGAAGTTCCCAAGGCCAAGAAGCCAACCTCTCTGAAGAAGGTGTGTGAAACAAGACACTAGAAGGCTTTTAAAATGTCATGTATTCACATTTACTTCTCTCAGTGCTTTGGTTTTTAGACTTTAAGGTTTCCATTACTTGAACATTGTTCTATTCAAGTTTTATTCATGATTCTCTAAAAATCAATCTTTGCTTCTCCAGCTTAATGGAATACGTGAAGCAGGAACTGCTTGAGAAGTGAAGTTATGTTTGGGTTTTGTTTTTTAATTTCCAGTGACATAAAACCAGACATGGGGAAGTTAATTTTTCCTCTTTCCCACTTTCTGTCATTATCCTAATTTAAACAAACCCCTTTTTGTACCTGTTCTTTTAGTCCTGTGACACATGTTCCTTCCTTTAATTCTCACAGTAGCCTTGTGGTGGATCTTGGTCCAGAGATCAGGGTCACTCAGAGGGACTGAGTAACTTGCCTTCGGTCAGGGGACTGTTATGCTTCAGAATTGACATTAGAGACAGATCTTGTATGCCCTGCTCTGCGCACAGTCTGCCCTGTACTGAGGCAGGGGTTGAGGGGTGGTGCAGCTTCCCTACGTTGAAGGCCAAAGGTTGGGCAAGTCTTTCAGAAAGTGGGGAGTATGGTGGCATTCTAAGGACACAGACAGTTGTGTTGCCAACAAATTGAAATTGGGTGGTTTATTTTGCAGAAGAACATATCTTTTTAGAAGAAGCATTTAGGTGATTTAATCATTTTTTTAAAAAAGATTATTTTGAAGGAACGACAGGAGAGAAAGCAGCAGCGTCTCCAAGAAAATGTTGCAAGTGATACTGTCCAAGACATAGAGAGCAGTGTTGATGACCAGTCCCTCCAGCAGGCTAACCCCTCAGGTACTGGTTCCTGTTTGTTTGCTCCTTTTAGAGAATTCCTGAAATGGGAGCTGCTATGACGGAGATGAGAAATGTATGTGGCCAACTGTCTGGAACTTTGCCAATACCTTCCACCTTTGTGGTAAAAAAGCAAGTCAGGGTTGTACCTAGGGGCATGCAAAAGTATACAGACTCCTAGCTTTCTTATGAGAGAAACTGTGAATAGATGACAGGGTAGGGCTTCTGTCATTGCTGGCTCTGGGAGTCTGAGAGACGTAAGAGATGAAACTGCTGAGTTTGATCTGAGTTTCATTGGATGTCCTTATAATTTGGAATTGCCGTGAGAATTAACACCACTTACTACAAAAACTGCTTACCCAGAGGTACAAAATAGGATGTTATAAAAAATAACATATATATATTTTTAAGAAAACTTTATTGAATTATACATTTTAAAAAATGCAGTAGTCAAAAGTATACAGCTTGAGGACAAAGTGAACACAAAACCCAGATCAGGAAATAGAACAGAATGCCAGAAACTCTCATGCTGTCCCTCTGGTCATAGGCATTCTCATCCCCACCAGAGGGGCAGCACTGCCATGACTGTAGCACCATGATATATCTTTGAACATCGTTATCAGTGAAGTCACACAGTATGTGCTCTTCAGCATTTGCTGCTTTCTCTCAGCTTGTGATTTGTGGAGTTTGTCCATCTTGTGCTATATCAGTGTAGTTCATTATTTTCATCACTGAGGAGTATTCTATTGTGAATGTACCAGGTTGCTGATGGGCATTCAGGGAGTCTCCACTGTGGGACTCTTAAAAGCAAGCTTGCTATGAACATTATTACATATGTTTTTTGAAGAATGTGAGCAGAATCGCTGGGTCACAGGGCAGACTTCCTCTCAGCTTTAGTAGAACCTGCCATATAAGTTTTTACCAGTTATACTCCTACCAGGAGTATATGAGGCTGCAGTTGCTCAATACCCTTGTCATCCTGTGACGTGTTGTCTTTTTTGTGTTTGTCATCCTAGTCGGTATGGTGTGCATTCCTTAACTCCTTCAACTGGTGATCTGTTTCCTCACTTTGCGTGTTGATAATCTGTGGCAGTAATCAAATGGGGGAACTTTAAGCTCTTGTTAAAACCACAGCTGGTGTGTTTGAATGCACCAGTAGAAGGTCTCATAGTTTCGATGTTTGAGTTCAGCTCTCATCTAAGGATTATTTGAGGAATGGTGTCGTGCAAAACAAAAATGTAGAACTAAGAGCCTGGCTTTTAAAACTTCCTGATATGAGATTCTTCAGATTAAATTTCAGAATTAAAAATAAATTTGGAAATGATGTCTTAGCATAATAAATGGCACATCAGTCTCATGATCTAAAAAATAAATTTGAGTGTTTATGGGGTGGTGGTAAAGGGAGAGGAAGACCTTAGAGCAGAAGGCTTTTATGTGTGTCTCCACCAATTTTTCCATTTTTCCCCACAGCATTTTTCATCTATTTTAATTGCCCTCTGTAATGTTTTTAACATGAAGAGTTTGTGCAATTTGGGGTTGCATCCTTGAGACTCTTGAGCAATCACTCTTGGGAATGACATCCAGTAGGTCCATCTTCGTTTGCACATTGTGTTCCACAGATGCTATATGATGACCTCTTTGCTTTGTAAAGCTCCAGGGGAAACAGAAGAATCAGTCCCCTCCACTGTTGTAGAGGAAAGTGGGTCAGAAGAGACGCTCAGAGCTGAGCCTCAGAATGACACAGAAGCCTGCCATCTTGGTCTTGACTCCACCAGTTTCCCAAAGATTCACAGTCGGAGGTTTAGGGAGTAAGTAAGCCTTGGTTCCTGTACCCCTGCCCCTTTTGATGACTTGAAGAGGGAGTTAATGTGCTCATATTCTATCTAGCAGTTATTTCTTCCACTCAAGATTCTCATCACTATAAAGCGGTATGATTGGGCCACACTATCTTTTCATCCTATTGGTTTAAAATGGCCAACTACCTCATTATAACACTTGTTCAATTATTTTATCTGTGTCTGCTTCTGTGGGAGTTTCTATCCTGTTAGTAATATGTGGAAGATGTGCCCTTGAATCCACGTTTCAGGGTGGGTGAGCTGAAGATGATAGCTAGGTTTCCTTTGGTAGTGTCATTTCTCTGTAATTTCTTAAGGGAAAAATACTTTTAACCCTATTAACATACTCTGCCTTCTCCCCTTCCACTTTTCTTCTAGGGTAGACTCTCCAGGGATTTGTGTTCCTGATGGGGAGTAGCCAGAGATGGGGGCAGGACCCTTCCCTGTAGGAGAAGGTGTGGCATGCAGTGGGAGAGGGCATGTTAGTCCCTTGTAGTTAGGAGTGGAGGATGCCTCAGTCTTTTCATGAAATCAGGTCAGTTAGGAATTTCACATTCCTAATACACATAGTATTATTCATCAAAATGTGGTTTCTTAAAGGACTTACACTCTCTACTTCTCTCCACTCTGAGGTTTGGTGGAAACAGTGCTGGGATGGTACACCCAGTGGAAATGCTAATGACATGTGATACTTCTTTCAGTTACTGCAGCCAGATGCTTAGTAAAGAAGTTGATGCTTGTGTCATGGATCTTCTAAAAGAGCTGGTACGTTTCCAAGACCGTATGTACCAGAAAGATCCAGTCAAGGCTAAGACCAAACGCCGACTCGTGTTGGGGCTAAGAGAAGTTCTTAAACACCTGAAGCTCAAAAAGTTGAAATGTGTCATCATTTCTCCCAACTGTGAGAAGATACAATCCAAAGGTAAGAGCAACTGTTTTATCCTTTAGAGTGGGAGCCCCTCTGCAGTAAGTAGCACAGCACTTGCTCTTAGCTTATGCCACAAGCCCATTTAACTGCTAATGGTGGGTAAGACCATCTCCATTAATTTAAAACTTGGCTTTGTCTAAATACTTTGACATTGGGGTCTGTTTTGTTGAGTGAGGCATGCTGGGTGAGGTAGTAGACAGTGTACTCCTGTCATATGATAGCTAGGCTTCTTGGTTCCTTGGAGGACTTGCTTGTCTGTGTTATTTCCTCTTCAGGTTAAGTAATATAAGATAGTTAGGAACAGAATGTCACCTCTCACTGACATCTTCATCTGGGCTGTGAAAAAAGGATTGAGCCTCTTTAAACATCCACAGATGAAGTCACGGGCACCTTTTTCTACCCAGATGCCATTCCTTTCTTCTACAGTATAAAAGCAAACTCCGGTAGTGTTACATTTTTAGTCTAAATCTTAGTGCTAAATCCTTAAAGATGATCTTTGCCAGTTACTATTTCTCATCTGGGAAGTGAGGTTTCCTGACTTGTCTTGAGGCCACATTGGACCCCCTGTTCGCAGACCAGTGGTGGTGTCTCTGTTACATATCAGAGTGGATCAAAATGCAACAGGAAGGGACTTCAGTGCCCTGCTTATGTGGCTATATGTTTGGCAGGGTCCCTGTGGGGCCCAGGATAGGTATTGGGCAAGGTGTACATATCAAGGAGCTCCCAGAGTATTGAAGAAAGTAGTCCACACACAAATTTCTCATGTCATTTTTATTTCTGCTGTTTAATTTCTGAGAACTTTTTGAAGAATCATTCTCTGAAAATTGCTTTTTTATAGCAGCTGCTTTACTTCATGCATGTATTAACTTTCTCCATGAGGATATTAGTGGTCCTCAGTTTCTCCTTCCTGCACAGCCTCCATCCCTCCAGATAGTTTATAAAGTTGTGTGTTTACAAGAACTATGTGTCTCTCATGTTGGAGAGTTTCCTCAGGGACCCTGGATTGTCTGCTCAAACTCAGTGACTCCTAAGTAGCCAGTTAAGGAGCCCTGGTTGAACATTGGTTAAAGTGCTTGGCTGCATACCAAAAAAGGCTGGCAGTTCAGACCCACCAGCCACACCATGGAAGAAAGATGGCTCTCGTAAGGATTTATAGCCATGGATAACCCATAGGGTTGGGGGCAGTTCTCTGTCCTATAAGATTGCTACAAGTTGGAATTAACAGCAGTGGGTTTACTTTGGAAGATGTTTAGGAGCTTGGGTGTGAAGCTAAAGGCTATGAGCTTCATTAAAGGGCAGTGCTTAGCCGTAACTGGTACCAGAATTACATGGAGGGCTTGCGAAAAGAGATTCCAAGATTTTTGATTGAGTAGGTCTGGGTGAGACCAGAGAGTTTGCATTTCTAGCAAGTTCCGGGGTGATATTGTTGCTTATGCTTCTGCTGTTTCTGCTCCTGCTTCTGGTTCTGTGCCCTCTTGCTGCTGCAGTGAGGGCCCATTTGAAAAGCCTGTGCTGTGAGACCACCTGGTGTGCTGCTACCATGTTGGAAAACACCTGAGTAGGGTCCCTTGGCCTTGCCCCTGGGCTGGTCAGATTTTCCCAGAAAGACTCTTAGGCTCTACTTAGAGGGTACAGGTTTGACTCCCAGCCTACACTTGGATTGCTTATCCCATTAGATGTGTGGCAGAAGTCTTCATCTGAGCCTGGTATCCCACAGGCCTCTCCTGTGGCCCTCCAAAGTAAGCCTTGTGGCAGCAAAGGAGGTCTGGATACTTTATTTCCTTCTTGCACAGCTTTCACACCCTCTCACTAGTTAAATTATGCCCCATTTCTAAGGTACCTGGTGCTAATGATCCTTTAGCTTTCAGGAAGTTCTGGGGTACAAATCTGCTGGGTTCTAGGCTTTTCACCATTGTTGATTTAGGTCTCCTATGTCATTTGTCCATTTGCTCTCTGCTCTCAAATTTTTTCTACTGTTTTTCATCGAATTTTGTTAATTTGTGCCTTTAAAATAAACAAAAAGATAGATTTGTGTATATTCAGTCCACTTCTCTTCTGGAAGGTACCATTTTTTTCCTTCTAGAGAAAGGAGTGACATTTCTATTTGATAGACATCTGGAGGATTTCTTAATGCATTTAAAAGACATTTTTTAATGATCAGTTCCTGTGTAATTTTTATTTGAGGCATAATAAACTGGATTATATCTCTTAAAATATTTGTTAGTTGGATAAAACAACTAGGTAGCTTGTACTCATTCAATTTAGGATAAAAGTATAATAGTTCGAAAGACATTTATTTACCTTAAACTTAATTCTTAGCTTAAATTTTTCATTGCAAGCTATTTATCTGACCTGAGCATTTGTGCTCTTGTCATGAACTTTGATAAGTCAGCTCTGTGAGGATGCTTTCAGATCTCACTCATAATCTGGGTTTAGTGGTCATTGGAAGAAAACAATCTGAACTTTGTTGCTGGTGTGAGAGGCCCCTGAGATCATCCTCAGGTTCAGTGATTTGCTAGGAAGACTCAAAAGGATTCAGCATGCAGTCTCACAGCTATGATTTAACCATGCATCGTTACAGTGAAAGGACAGAAAGCACAATCTGCAGAGGAGAAAAGGTACAAGAGGTGAAGTCTGGAGGAAACTAGGCACAAGCTTTCTGAATCCTCTCCCAGTGGAGTAACACTGAAAGCATTTCCTTCCCCAGCAATGAGCTGTGCCGACACGTGAAATATTGTCTACCAGAGAAGCTCGTTAGAGACTCAGCACCCAGGGTTATTGGAGGCTGGTTATGTAGGCACCCTCTCCCTGACATGTACCAATATTCCAGACTTCCTAAAGGAAAGTAGGTATGCAGCATGATCCACATTATTTGTGCAGGCAGTTTAGGTAAGTGAGCCAATCTTAATCAGTTAAGGTGGTAGGAACCTTCCTGAAACTCAGGTTCACAGATGCCACCCCCCAGCCAGGTTTGCATGCAGCCCTTTGTGAGGGTAATGATTTCAGGCCTGCAGTGTGAACTTTTGTCTGTGTGACTGACTTACAGGGTTGTGGTGGACACCAGACAGGGAAAGGGACTCTGAGCAGGAGATGAGGCATTTGATATTAAGGAAAGTTGATAAATCTCCCCTAATATATTGAGTTTATCTAAGTGTAATGATGTCTAAAGAACACACACATCACTTTACCTCTACCGTCTGTCTCCCACTTTTCCCATCCTGCCAAGAACTAGAGTTTCTCTTTGAAGTTTATATTACCAGAGATACCTTGTCATTGATTTCCATATTCTTTGGGTAGAACTGGGCAGGGGGTGGGCAAAATTTAGGAATGTGGGGTTAAAATTTAATCCTTAATAAAACCAGATGCAGAATGAGTTCCTTGTCCTCACAGAGTGGTAGGAAAAATCGTGAGCTTCCTACCATTTGAGAAGTTCCTCTCAAAATAGCACCAGGTGCTCTAAGGTGTTAGGAAATCTTTTCTTCTATGAAGAGTCAGTCTGTATGCTCAGTGGGGATACCATACTATAACTTCCTTCCAGTGCTGGAGGAACCCAACTTACCCATGGGGATGGAAATGTTTTCCTTAAAAAAGTGGGTTCCTTGGATTCCCACAGAGATGACTGTAGTTGCCATGTTTTTGCATACCTTGATGGTCTGTGCATGTGTGTTTGTAAATACACACATTCTAGTCTCTACACATGTGTGAGTATACACTTATGAATATTAGCATCCTAGGCAGTTTGTCACTTGCTTGGTTTTAATGTCATTTAATGTGCACTATATGTAGATTTGTGTTCTTGAATGGCTGTGTGTTTCTGGGCATGTCCCACAATCCCACACTGATGAACACTTAGGTGGCTTTCACTTTTCTATGATTGTAAATAAGCCCACACTTGTAAAATCACTCATTACATGTGTGAATATAAACCTAGAAATGAAACTGTGTGTGTATATATAACTGTAATACCTCTGCCACACTTCCTTTCTGAGAGGCCTCTACAGCCCCTCCCACCAACTACACCTTCTGGGAGAGTTTTCTTAGCATTTATTTCCAAGTGAAACTAAGCATCTCTTAACTTGTTTAAAAGCTTGGTATTTTTTTTGAACTGTTGGTTCTTTTCCATTTGTCTTTTGGGTACAGTTCTTTTTTATATTGATTGGTAGTTTTTTCTAATAAAAATGGTACATTTTTATTAGAAAATTTAAAATAAGAATTTATAATATCAACTGTGTAAGTTGATATTATATATTCTTATTTTTTTATGGCATCTAACTTTTATGTCATCCCTAGGCCTTTCCCCACTCTAAGGTTATTTTCTAATCCTGTTTTTCTCCTGGTTCTTCCCTGTTTTCATTATATGTTTAAAAAAAACTAAATCAGTTGCTGTTGAGTCACCTCCATTCATGGTGACCCCAAGTGTGTCAGACTAGAGTTGTGCTCCATAGCATTTTCATTGGTTGGTATTTTGGAAGTAAGTCACCAGGCCTTTCTTCTAAGGAGCCATTTGTTGAACTTAAACCTCCAACCTTTGTTTAGCAGCTGAGTGCTTAACTGTTTGTACTACTCTTTTCATATTTAGGAAGAGCATATATTTTGGCCTAAAATGTAAAGTGTGTATCCATTCAGCATTGTACATTGTATGTGGAATAATCTGTCTGCCCTTCCCCTCTCCCACAACCTGAAGCCCTGTGCATCACAGACTCAATTTTCAAATGTGTGGGTCCTTCTGTCACTTTGTTATTCTGTGGTACCTTGCGTGCTGCTGTGAGGCTGGAGGCTATACCACTGGTTTGTCACACACCAGCAGAGTCACTGATCGTGGACAGGTTTCAGCAATGCTTCCAAACTAAGACTGGGAAAAAGGATTGGGCCATGCACGTCTGAAAAAATCAGCCAGTGAACCTTCAGGTCTGGAATTGAACCCACTCCTGTGGCTCCCAGCCAAACAAAAGATAGGCATCTGAGCTGAACATTTACATTAGGTAGATACACTC